ATAGGTTTTGGCCACACGTGGTGGCTCACGCCTGTAATCCCATCAGTTTGGGAGACTGAGGTGGGCAGATCACAAGGTCAAGAGATCGATGCCATCCTGGCCAACATGGTGAAACCTCATCTCTACTAAAAAAATAAATAAATAAAAATATTGGGCTGGGCACAGTGGCTCACACCTGTAATCCCAGCACTTTGGGAGGCCGAGACGGGGGGATCACAAGGTCAAGAGATCAAGACCATCTTGGCCAACATGGTGAAACCCCATCTCTACTAAAATACAAAAATTAGCTGGGTGTGGTGGCGCTCGCCTATAGGCAACAAGGATGAAGCTGGAAGCCATCATTCTCAGTAAACTAACACAGGAACAGAAATCAAACACCCCATGTTCTCATTTGTAAGTGGGAGTTGAACAATGAAAACACATGGATACAGGGAGGGGAACATCACACACTGGGGCCTGTCAGCGGGTGGGAGGTAAGGGGAGGACAATTGCCTAATGCATGTGGGGCGTAAAACCTAGATGACATGTTGATAGGTGCAGCAAACCACCATGGCACATGTATACCTAGGTACCTATGTGTTAATTGGCAAAGAAAAAAACAATAACAAATAAGAAAATTAAAAACCCAAGAAGTGGACTAGACGAAAGACAAAAAATCAAAGAGGAAAACATTCTGTACAGACTTCCAGAAAAACCTGGGAGATATATGACTTTCATTAATGTAACTGGATGCTTTGGTTTCAACGTGTCTCACAAAGTTCATGTGTTGGAAACTTAATCCTCAATGTAACAGTATTGAGAGGTCAGACCATTGAGGACTGATTAGGTCATGAGGGATCTTCCCTCATGAACAGATAGATGTTGTTATCGTAGTTGGATGTCGTTATTGAGACAGTGATTAGTTATAGTAGGAGTGGGTTTCTGATTTTTAAAATGAGTTTCACCCTCTTCTCCCCTTTTCTCTTCTGCTTCTCTCTCTCGCTTTCTCTCTCTCTTGCTTTCTTTTACTCTCCCTCCCTCTCATACCCCGGTACCCTTCCACCTTCCATCATAGGATGACAAAACCAGAAGACCCTTGCCAGCTGTGTGCCCCTCAGCCCTTGCACTTCTCAGCCTTCAGAGCTGTAAGAGACATTTCTGCTCTTTATAAATTACCCAGCCTGTGATATTCTGTCAGAGCAGCATGAAACGTACTAAGACACTGGATATGGGTTTGATTCAAAGGAAAAAGCCTATGAGGTCACTTACAGTCCATTCAAATGTTGTAGTGGCGACTCCTGAAGCTGCTCCTGTCCCAGCCAGCCCCACAAAGTGGCCACTGCCAATGTTGCTGGCAAAGAGAGAGGCGCCCATCTGTAATGCAAGATAACAAACTAGGATTGGAGTTAAAAGATCCAAATCAGACTTTTTGAGAACTGGCAGATGCTGAGATGTTTCAGTCACTACTCCTTAGAGCAGGAGTCAAGCAAATGTCTGCCCCCGAGTTAATCCAGCCCATAGTCAGTTTCTATATGGCCCATGAGCCAAGACTGTTTTTTCACATCTTTGCATTATTAAATAATGATTAGCATCTAAATAAGCATAATATTTTGTAAGATATGAAACTAAAAATGAAATTATATTATTTAAATTTCAGTGTCTGGAACACAGCCACACCCATTGGTTTTCCATATGGACTGGGGCTGTTTTTTGTCCTACAATAGCAGGGTTGTGTGGCTGCAGCAGACTATATGGCTTGAAAACCCTAAAATATGTATAGTCTGGCCTTTTACAGAAAAGCTTGTTGGCCCCTGCCTTGGGGGGAGTGTTGGTCAATCTACTGAAATGCTCTGGGTTGAGCCTGTCCTTGGCCAAGCACTGCTAGACCTCCCATCAGCTGTTGTCCCTTTAGTCAGCTGCAGGGACCCCAAAGCTGCATAAGAGGAAATTCCTCTCCATCCTTCCAGCCACGAGACCTTCTGATTCATTCCCTTGCCATCACAGTGCCTGCTGTTCTTTGGACCCAAAGATCAAGAGTGGTCTCTTGAGTGGGCATGGATCAGCACCAATTCTGGCAGAAGAGAATTTGGGTGTGGGACCCTGCAGTGCTGCTGCTTTCCCCGCTTTTTAAGGGCTCTGTAAAATCACTTTTTCTACTCAGCTCCATGAGGCCAGAGGATGGGGTTAGCTGGTTTGTGGCTTCAAGATCGCTTGAGCCTTATGTGTTTCGTTAACAGTCCTAAAAAGGACTGATTGGATGCCCCAAATAAAATTCATTTCAAACTTCCAGTTCTGCTTCAGTCACCCCAGCTAGAACATTTCCCCATCTCTACTTCCCTTCATACCATTTAGAAAATGAGTCAGATCTGTGAAGAAAGCATTTGCTAAGCACCCACTGTATAATGTGATGCTGAGGTGACACTCTCCAGATGGAGAGGGGAAGATGCAGCCTCTGCTGCAGTGGGACCCTGGCTGTGGGGGCCACATACCAAAATCCCACAAGAACACCCACTGGGCAAGAATCAAGAAGCATCAGCATTATCACCATCACAGGGGACACAACCAATAACTGCATGGGACATAAAGACCCATGGAGAGAGCTGGGAGGCTTCTCAGATGAGGAAGGGGAGGGGTGGGGCATTGAAAGAGGAGAGCAGAGAGGGGGAGGCCAATCCTAACGAGATGGCCAGCATCAGCTCCGGACTGGGAGCAAAGCAGGAGTGTGCAGAGCTTGTAAGAAGCCAGGAGAAGACACTCGATAGGAGCAAGAGAAAAGAATATGAAGTGGGGCCGAACTGGGGTCCTTCAATGCCAGACTGGACCTCCTGGCATAATAGGCGATGTATTGTAATGTCCTGGAATTACAGGGAAGGAGCCATGATGTCAGGGATTTAGGAATGGAGACCCAGTTGAGTAGGCAACCAATGTACATCAGAAATAGTCAACATTCTAAATGTTTTCTACATTCACTTTTTTTTTTTTTTTGCAACGGAGTTTTACTCTTGTCAGCCAGGCTGGAGTGCAGTGGCGCGATCTCAGCTCACTATAACCTCTGCCTCCCAGGTTCAAGCGATTCTCCTGCCTCAGCCTCCTAAGTAGCTGGGATTACAGGCGTATGTCCCCCCCCGCCGCCATTTTTTTTTTTTTTGCAACGGAGTTTTTCTCTTGTTAGCCAGGCTGTTTTTCATTGGCGCATTCTTGCTTTTCCGCAACCTCTGCCTCCCAGGTTCAAGCGATTCTCCTGCCTCAGCCTCCTGAGTCGCTGGGATTACAGGCATGCGCCACCATGCCCCGCTGACTTAATTTTTGTAATTTTAGTAGATACGGGGTTTCACCATGTTGTCCAGGCTGATCTCAAACTCCTGATCTCAGATGATCTGCCAGCCTTGGCCTCCCAAAGTGCTAGGATTACAGGTGTGAGCCACTGTGCCCGGCCTACGTTCACTTGTAAGCGCAAACCCAGGAAATTTATCTCCAGGAAACTGGTCCACTTACCGGCCACCAGGCCACATCACGACCAGCGAGGAAGAAGCCTCCTATAGTGCCTCGGTTGGTCCTCAGCATTGCCTGAACAGAAGGGAAGATAGGTGAGGGTCAAGCCGCAGCAGGCACACCCAGACATCCCAGAGGCTCTGGCCAGGGTGCTGAGAGAGGTGACTTCAGCACTCCTACAGAGAGAAACATTTTCCTGGAAACTGTTCTGTAGCATCAAATTTTAAAGGACTTGAAAAGCAATCACTTCGTAAAAACTCAGAGCTGGAAGGACTTTAAAAAGTCGTAATTCTCAACTTCTGTCTTAACTGCTCTGATTAGTCTCACGAAAATCACGTGAGGTATCACTAAGCCATGCTTGCAAGAAAATTTGCAGCCTCAAACTCATTATTAAAAAGAAAAGTCAACATAAATGAATTAAGAGTCCAACTCACTAAGTCAGAAAGTAAGCAAACAAAAGACAGTCAAAGAAATGAAATAATAAAAATAACATCTTTGTTCATTATACCAGGTACGGGGGATGCAAAGGAAATCTGAAGGTCCCGGTGCACACAGTGGGATTGTTAGGAGAGTAAGTTGGCTCATTTTAGGAATTATTTGTGCAACACACAAGAAAATGACTCTGATAATAATGACATCTGTGAAAAACTTTGTCACAACCACACCCCTTCCTCCCCTTAAGATACCCCCTCCCAAACCTTGTGCCCACCCTAAAAGCCACTGGGATTCCACTTACCCACAGCCCAACAGCCATCACCACCAGAAAATAGATGACAATGACTGAGATGTCAGCAGCATTTTGGATTCGATCAGACAATGGAGGTGGCTCTGGGGTCCCAGCCATGGTGCTGGGGCTAACCGTGCTGGCCATGGCTGCAGCAGTGCTATAGCATTCCAGGTAGGACCCATCTTTATATAAATTCTGGGTTAATGATCAGCCTCAGGCGGGTGGGGTGAGATATCAGAGCCGGCTTGTGGATATGGAGACCTTTAAACCTCTTCTCCAAAGCTGTGACACCCCAGCCCTCCACTGGTGAGTGCTAGTCCAGGTAGAGTGTGAGAATGAGGGATGCAGGGCCAGAAATGTGGGGAGAGTTTGAGGTAGAGCATGGGGTGTTATCTGAGGGCAAAGACAGGGTCTTTAAGGAGACCTGATCAGGTGGTGGGGGGATTTGAGAGAAATGAAGACACAGAAGGAGGGGAGAAGGACAGAGAAGGGGCCAGAAGTCAGCCAGGAGGGACTGAACAATGGTTCCTCAGAGAACAGATGCAATTTCTGACCAGTGAGCTATATCCTTTGACAGGGAAGTGAATTATGCCTTTCATGGATTCCAAAGTTTTACATTTATCTGAAGTGGGTCTCACATGCCACAGAAAGAAATTGGTGGCCTATGTAGGAAAGGAAGTGGCTCAACAAACACCATATGTGGAGAGCTGCGGGCATAGCTGTGGAGAGCACTGGGTCAGAGGGTTGTACAAGGAGTGAGTCAACCTGGAAGCATATGATGGGGATCATGAGGACTCAGAAAACACGACCCCTGGACCACAGCCAAGAAGAAGTTAGAAATAAAGCCTGTGTGGTGGCTCAGGCCTGTAATCCCAGCACTTGGGGAGGCAGAGGAGAGACCATCACTTGAGGCTAGGAGTTCGAGACCAGCTTGGGCAATATAGGGGGTCTTTGTGTCTACAAATATTAGCTGAGTGTGGTGATACATGCATATGGTCCCAGCTACTTGGGAGACTGAAGAGGGAGGATCACCCATGATTGGGAGGTCAAGACTGTAGTCAGCCATGATCATGCCACTGCACTCCAGCCTGGGCAACCGAGCAAGATCTCTCTTTTTAAAAAAAAAAAAAAAAAAAAAAAAAAAAAAAAGTATCCAGGCATGGTAATGAGTGCCTACAGTCCTAGCTATTCAGAGGGCTGAGGTGGAAGGACTGCTTGAGCCCAGTTGGTCAAGTCTGTAGTGAACTATGGTCACACCACTGTACTCCAGCCTTGGTGACAGAGTGAGACCCTGTCACAAATGAATGAAAAATTCTCCACTTTTGTTTCAGGCAAAGAAGATTGAGGCACCCCATCCTCTCTGGGTCCTCTGACCCTCCCGCTCTCTGACATAGAGGCAACCAGCACATTCATTCAACAAGTGATTTGAGACAGGAGCGTGCTGGAGTGAATATGGCTCCACTTCCAGTTCCAGTTGAGATTCAGAGCCAAACAGTCCAACGGGCTGGACCAGACCCTTTCCCTGAGAAGGTCAGGGAATCAGGGAATTGTTGCCTGGAGCAGGAATCAAGGAGAATTAGAAGGGTGGTTAAGAATGTGGACTTTGGCTGGGTGCAGTGGCTCATGCCCATAATTTCACCACTTTGGAAGGCCGAGGTTGGTAGATCACTGGAGGTCAGGCGTTCGAGACCAGCCTGGCCAACATGGTGAAACCCTGTCTCAACTAAAAATACAAAAAAAAATTAGCCAAGCACTGTAGCGCATGCCTGTAATCCCAGCTACTCAGGAGGCTGAGTCAGGAGAATTGCTTGAACCCGAGGTGGAGGTTGCAGTCAGCCGAGATTGTGCCACTACACTCCAGCTTGTGCAACAGAGTGAGAATCTGTCTCAAAAAAAAGTGTGGACTTTAGACTAGACAGTCTTGGGTTCAAATCCTGCCTCTGTCCCCTACCAGCCGAGTGACTCCAGAGAGATTGTATGTGGGAAGCACCTGGCTGAGGGCATGTGGCATCTGCCTGAAGGTAGTAAGGGTGTGAAGATTAGACTGCCATGGCTGATACCCGAAGAGCAAAGGTGCAGGACAGTTGGCAAACAACAGTGTCATGGTCCCCTGGGGGCTCAGGGTGGACAGCAGCTCTGGAGACTCCAAGGATGGGACTGATGTTGAGGACCTGGTCCTAGGGCTCCCCCACCCCCGGGGGCAAAGTGGGATTCAAGCTGGGCCTTGCAGAGGGGACCGAGAGCATTTGGTGAGGGGCACGGAGGAAGCTCCTGTGGGCAGAGGCTGCTGGCCAGGTGAGGGGAGAATGTCTGGCGGGGAGCTGAGCAAGCTGCTTTCTGAGCACCTGGCTGTCCCATGATGCAGCTGTGGCCATCTGGCTCCTCTAGGGGATGACCTGAATCTGCCTGGAGTCCTTGACCCCCTGCAGCGTGTCACCTCCTGGTACCATGAGGACTTACCCCAGAGGGCATGGAATCAGATGAACTGGGTTCAAATTCCAGTCACAGATAATGCTGCATTTGATGTGGAGCAATGCTTAATGACTACGGTGTGCTCTTTGTGCACCAGGCATGGTTCGTTGCCTCCTTTCAACCATATAGCAGCCCTGCGGAGTGGGCATCAGAGGAGACAGTGGCACAGAAAGGGTAAGTGACTTGTTCAGGGTCACACGGCTAGAAACAGCAGAACCTGGGTCCTGACCCAGATCCATGTGACTCTGGGATGGGCTCCACCCAGCCGTCCTCCTTCCCTCCCAGCTCAGCTCCTTTCCAACCGCACGAGGCTTGCATGCCCTCAACTATGAAATGTGGATAACAACCGAGCCTGCCACATGGGGATATTGGGATATTGTGCAGATTAAGGGAGCCAGTCAAATTTAATAATTTTTGCATCAAGTCTGGCACATGGTGAGTTTTTGGCAAATGGCATCACCATCATCACCATTATTACAAGTCCTAGCTGGAAACCAAATGAGTGATCAGTCCAGTCCCCTTGTTGTACGGATGGGGAAACCGAGGCCTGAACTGGGGTCAGCGGATCACTGTTGGTAATTAGCAAAGGAGTAACAGTTCTTCCTGAGGCTGAGGCCTGCCATCTCCGGCCTCCACACCCGCATGAGTGTAGCCCCAGTGACGGTCCCAGTTGGCACTAACCAGCTCTGTAGCCCCAGCTGCCCAGGTAAAGCAGATGGGCCACAGCCCTGAGAGCTCTGACAGGTGTGGCTGGCTGCTCTGCACAGGGAATTTGCCCTGTTCAACATGGGAGACCCCTCGGGCAAGCCAGATGCTGTCTCCCTTGGATTCCTCCCACTTCCCTGTCACACTGAGAGCCATGACTGTCCTCTTGGACATGGCCTCAGAGCCCCCTGGGAATCAGCCAAGGCCTGGGCTGGACAGTCTGGGTATCATGAAATCCAGCTCAGCCCCAGATGGAAACACAGCTTCCACATGCCTCTTTTTTTTTTTAGATGGAGTTTTGCTCTTGTTGCCCAGGCTGGAGTGGAGTGCAGTGGTGCAGTCTCCGCTCACTGCAACCTCTGTCTCCCAGGTTCAAGCGATTCTTCTGCCTCAGCCTCCTGAGTAGCTAGGATTACAGGTATGCGCCACGATGTCTGGCTAATTTTTTGTATTTTTAGTAGGAACAGGGTTTCTCCATGTTGGTCAGGTTGGTCTCGAACCCCTGACCTCAGGTGATCCACCCACCTCAGCCTCCCAAAGTGCTGGGATTATAGGCGTGAGCCACTGCACCTGGCCTCCACATGCCTCTTTACCCAGCTGGAAGTGGACACTACTCAAGCAGAGTCCCAACCTGGATGCAGAGACCCAAACGCCACTCCTGGGAGCAATAACCCTATCCTGATAGGAGAGTGGGGGGTTAACACCCACAGAGGCCCATGACCACTTTTGTTCCCAGATTGCCCCAGTTCCAAGATCCTCACTTATCAAAGGACCCTCTACTGATACAGAGGATCTGGTTTTTAAGTCTGATTCTGGATTTTCCTTTGTTCTGTTTGGCCCATGGATGGGCAGGTAACTGCAGTTTCTTGCTGTTAGCACTGACTTGGGAAAAGTCTGTCCTCCAGCCACTAATAGCTCCAGAGCAGTTAGGAAAACTGGCCTGTGAGCAGGTCCCACGGGGAGGACCCAAGACTGATGGGTTTTGGCGATCCTGAGCTCTAAGGACCTGCCTTAGAGCTGAACCAGTTGAACACCTGAATCAATGTATTCCCCCGATTCAGTCAGGGTTCAAGCATAGAAACAGAAACACCAGGAAATATAGATGAAGAGAATTGTCTCAGATGTCAAACTGATGTGACTGTAGGAACTACTTAAGAAGGTTCAGGCTGGGTGTGGTGGCTCACGCCTGTAATCCCAGCACTTTGGGAGGCCAAGACAGGCGGATCACTTGAGCACACGAGGCGAAATCCCATCTCAACAAGAAATACAAAACTCAGCCAGATGTGGTGGCATATGCCTGTAATCCCAGCACTTTGGGAGGCCAAGGTGAGAGGATTAGTTGAGGTCAGGAGTTTAAGACTAGCCTGGGCAATATGGCAAAACCCCATCTCTACTAAAAATACAAAAATTAGCTGGGCATGGTGGCATGCACTTACAGTCCCAGCTACTCAGGAGGCTGAGGTAGAAGTATTTCTAGAGCCCAGGAAGCAAAGGTTGCAGTGAGCTGAGATCACACCAATACACTCCAGCCTAGGTGACAGCGCCAGGCGCGATGGCTCACGCCTGTAATCCCAGCACTTTGGGAGGCCAAGGCGGGTGGATCATGAGGTCAGGAGTTTGAGACCAGCTTTACCAACATGGTGAAACCCTGTCTCTACTAAAAATACAAAAATTAGCTATGATTGGTGGTGCACGACTATAATCCCAGCAACTCAGGAGGTTGAAGCAGGAGAATCACTTGAACCCAGGAGGGGTTCTAGCCTGAACGACAGCAGGATTCCATCTCCAAAAAAAAAGTAGTAGTAGTAGTAGTAGTAGTAGTTTTGGGAAGACAGTTGTCCTTGAGTTGACTGCTGGGACTTGCAGTGCACCAGGCAGGCCATCGGGAAGGAGGAGAGGTGTAAAGTGGGAGAGGGCAGGAGCATACTAGAATCCATAGGCGGGAGCTGGAGCCCACGTGGCCAGGCTGAAACCTGTGTCTGTTCTTGCTGCTACCATCTTGATGGTGTGTGTGAGCGCCTTTAAGAAGCAAGGCCCCTCCTCGTGGAGCTGAAGATAACGCACACTTGGCCTAGGAGTCAGAGATGCCCAAGGCAGATCTAGGGGAAGGGGGAGCAGTTGCAGGCCTGCCTCCGCCTCACCCACAAAGTGAGCAGTCAGCTTCTGCGTGTCCTACCTACAAAAAGGGCTTTGGTTTCATCTCTGCTTCACAAATTTTGCACGGGAATCTCTCCTTTGGCCGACTCAGGAAGAGAATTCTGAGAAATGTCATTCATCATAGCCCAAATCTCTTATTACCTTCTGAGGCCTCCATGACAA